AAGAAGAAGAAGAAGAAGAAGAAGAAGAAGAAGAAGAAGAAGAAGAAGACATTTCCATCGCCGGAATCATCGTTTTATTCTTCTGAGCTTTCGAAACCGTACTGGAGTCACAGGGCAGACTGGACGCATGCTTGGTTCGCACACACACGAACATAAGCTGACTGTAAGACGGGGTAACGCATTATCACAAGTGGCTCCCCACACCTACGTGAGGGGTCATGAGTTTAACTTGGCAGCCGCGAAGATAATCGCCCACGCCGGCAGCAAGACAGGCCGACAACTGATTGCAGCCTAGGCTACGGATGAGAACTCAGTCAATCGATTTATCGATCTGGCACCGGCATGCATAGCCCTGCGCTAGCATTTCCAAACTGACGTCCCTCGTAGTTGATTCGACCCTGCCCCTTCTCTTATAATTGTTGCTTGAGTTTTCGTTGACTTTTCTGTTATTCCGGTTATCGTAATGCCTTCTTCTTCTACTACTACTTTACCTAATCGCAGGAACGTCATAAAACACACCAATTCGATTATTTTCTGTTTTTCGTCACAAAGCATTCAGTGCCGCAGAACGACCGTTTCTTAACAGCAAATCTGCCGACATACAGTTATTTTGTTAAAAAGAACATCAGAAAGACCCTAATTGTTTGTTAAGTTGAAAAAATTTGGCACGCAGATTCGTGATCCAGCTAGCTAGTTACTGCGGAGCCCGAAATAAAGTGTTATCCGAAGTACTCTGAAACAAAAATGGCGCAGTTTGCTTATCCGTGCAATATTTTTGCTTTACACAGGTCGCAACAACGTCCACCAACCTTTTCCAATTTGCCAATTCGCGCGAAACTGAGGTGCCGCGTCAATCAGAGACCCTGGGCTTATCCATATATTCCGGTAGTCATCGACTCCCAGTCTCGGAGTTGCAAAGTACTTTCAAGATCAATATAACGAAGGTGAGCTTTTATTTGCGAATCAAAATATTCTCAGGAATAGAAGCAAACATGCGTGCCCCGGGTTCTTGTTGTAAAGAAGAAAAAAATGTGATCGGTGGAACGGCAATTGTGTTATTCTGAGCTTTCGGATTCACACAAGAGCTCATCTTCAGAGAACATGAAAAAGCAGCAAGCGGTGGCACGTTTTTGTAGTCCAGCTACGAGTAAATAGGGAGTGGAAGAGGATGGCATTTGTGATTGGTCCATGCCCACGAAATCTCATCACATCGCCTCAGCTACTAGTGGCAGGAGCATTCGCGTATTACTCGGCGTAAATAGGACCGGCCTAGAAATAATGATGGGCATGAAATGCAAACCTTTAACTAAAAAGGCCGCGGGTTAGAACCTCGTGGGTACGACTGGCTGATGACGGCTAATAAGTCATAAATGGCTATTTCAGTCTCCCTTGTTATTGTGATTTATGCACTTCTGCCTATATATTATTAATTAAAATCTTAATAGACCAGAAACAAGCTTCTGTTTCACAGTCGTAACCAATCACATGTACGTCATTGGCCACTTCGGACTTATTAGCCATCAGGAATCAGGCAGATCCAACCTGAGGTGTTGCTATCCCGAAGCTTCTTTTTAATGTCACCTCTGCGATTCAGACCCGCAGCTTGTTGGTTAGAAGATGAACACCATTATTATTGAGTCAGTAGCTCGTTATCCTATTGGTTGCGGTCGCAGATGAGTACTTACCAATTGGTTGCGGGATCCGCACGACATTTAATCACCGCATCCAGCACGAGTGAATTTTCATGCTACTACTTCTTCGTTAATGCATACATATATTCTGAATGATCGAAAATATGCCAGGCCAAGTAATCGAATAGAGACAGGGAGATGTTTTCTGGGACCCATTTTTTATTTGTCTGGCGGTTCGAACTCTCATGCGAACCCATTGTCAAGGAATAAAAGATTGCACCGCTTACTGCTAATTTAGCTCACCTCTGTCGGGAACGCCCTTCAGCTCTGCCATTGATTTGTTCGCGCAATACCTGGTATGCATCCGGAAGATCGCTACGCCTATTAATAGAATCCTTACGTGAATCCCATGCCCCCTGCAGCAGACGTGAAATTCAGTCGTCTGGCTGACCCAGTATTCTAACACTTTCGAAGTCGAAGCCATGACCTAGCTTAAACACAAATGTGGTCAATCCGGTAAATGACACCGAATTTTCGATTAACAGGTATTGGGTCTTTTGGCCGCATTAGATGCCTGCATATTGTCGCTTCTGGTCTTTGAGCGACGCCAACCTACTCATTCCACTGTGCCTGGATGCTTCTTTTAGAGCAACGAGCTAATAAGCCAGAAATGGTCATTCCGGTCTCCCTTATCTTTGTCGGTTTAACTCCAATATACGTCAGAAGTCACTATGCGACTGCCTGCGATTGCTGTAGAATGAACTTCCAGGCACAACGGGACGATTATGTTCCCTAACCAGATGCACCGGTGAGTACCCTACTTCCGTCATATTCTCGATCGCAACCGACGAACTAACGAGCCCGTGGTTCAGTGCTAGAATGTTGCACTTAATGACCAAAAGTCCCGGATGATCCACACCTGGGGTTGAGTATGACTGCCCGACGACGACTAATAAACCAAGTAAAGGTCATCCTAGTCTCCAGTGTCTTTGTAGGTAATGTTCCTCTGTCTATATCCTTAGCCGTCTTTCGGCGCGGCTCGAGCGTGAGCCCGAAAGGCACAAAACGGGATTAATGTGTCCTGTAACCGATCGGTGGGCACCCATCTGTTGTAAATGTGGCCAAAGCTGCGATATCGCCGTCTACGTGTCTTGTTGAGCCCCCAAGGAAGAACGCAACGAGAAAAGCGCAAAATTAGAAGTCTTGGAGCAAACCTTGTACAGCATACTTAAGGCAAGCGAACGCGTGTACAAGTCATGTCCAATCGGACCAATCAGATTGTGGCCTCAAGTAAGGAGCGAATTCATTGGCTTCGTGACGCATGCAGCTGGCACGTTAGAGTCCGGTGCCCGGTTGCAGCTGCGCGGCGTCATCACGTGCATTGTGTGT